TTCTTTGAAACTTTTGGAGGCCAAAAACTTGAGTTCAAATGGGAAGTTGTCTTTTGTGGCAGCAATATTTTAATACCGGGGAACGCAAAAAATGTATGCTGTTTTTTCCAAATTCTATTTGCCGTTGGTTTTTTTTAAATGAAGTGCTGCCATGAATGTCCCGGAACATTCGCAGCTGACTGGTTTTTTCTATCTAGTCAAACTTTTTCAATTATTGGCATTGCAAACATGTTTATTTCAGCTCGTATAAGCTCATAGTGCTTTCACATAAGGATTCTGAGTGAGTAAGCTCTGATTTAGCCTAATTTGCGAAATAGCCGGGGTGGTGTGTTGGTCATTCGGACGCATTTCCGTCCGGTCGAACGCGGCTGAATTGCTAATTGTGACTGGTGAAGTCAGCTTCCCAGAAAATGTTGTTTTGTCCAATCATTCTGGCTTGGGACAACTTGTAGCATTGCTGTAAGTGAGCTGACGCCTAACTCTTCATAAGCGACCTATGTTATCTCCAAAGATATTTCTGGATAATGAACTTATACGGAGAAATCTCGTCAACTGCAGTACACGGCTAGGAAAGAAATTGCCAGCTGAGCCTCAGCAAGCCTGAGGAAGAAAACGAAGCAAATTCTGTGATAAACTGGTAAACTTTATGATAATCGCACTAATGTATGGTAAGCAGGGGCTAACTGGGGCAGGGCACGGGTCTCTTACGCAGTAACCTTTCCAGCTCGCCCCAGATGGGATAGGGCGAAAATGTTGAACTTCTTTTCAGGCACTGGCAATGGGCATCCTGACAAGTGTGCTGATGGTTTATGGCGGTACCTTACAGGACGATCCACTTCCAGACATACCACTGAAGGACGTCGATCGTGTCGTTGAAGATGCCGAACGGACGCATACCGAAACGGCTGCCCCACTTCTTCAATAGGCGTTTTACTAGTCCGGTGCCCTTTTTCCTTTTTTTTGTGGTCGCTTAATCACCATTAAGTTTATATGCACGTCTCTAGTTGTAGTTGCACAGTGATCTGCAGCGTTACCACATGTTGTTGTTTGTTTGTTTGTTTGTTTTTTCATAGATACATATATAGTTAGCGATCGCGACTTGTAATACGGTTACCATAGTCAAGTTGTTGACAGGTGCGGTGATTCAGTACGTCCTTATATCCCTACGTCTTCACCATTTCCTACCGCCTAATTCTCCTCCTTTACAGCGACTATGCCGCTAGGATTTGTTCAACGAAAAGAGATTTTTGTTTTTTTTTTCCTTTTTGTAATTGTTTGCTGATCATCCCGATTGACATCCCCTTTGAATCTGTCCGGTGAATCCTATCCTTTCGTGAATTTTCAGAAATTTCTCTAGCAAAAAAAGAAAACCAACTTCTAAAATGATCATTGCTTTAATCTTCTAATACCGGTAATAATTTGAAATAAAATGCTCGGTGCATAGTATAAAGTTCTATAATGCTTATAAAATGTGGTACATCTCAATAAAAATTGTTCAATGACTTTTTTAGAATGACAGTCGGACAGGTAACGAATTACCGACGACATTCTTAGAACCACCGGATCTTGAGAGGATTTTTTTGCATTCTGTGGTCGTCTTGTTGTCGAGAACAGTTCTGAATACATCGCAAAAAACAGGAATTAATATCTGGACTGAACTTCTGAAGACGTTTATACTTGTTAACAGCTGCATGTGGTCTTTGAGCAACTCTGACACAGTGCCACAGCGCTGACAGTTTGGAATGAAAGTCCGTAAACGACATTACCGTATCTAGGAACTAGGTCGGTTCATTGTGACAGTACGTTTACTTCCATCTTTATGAAACGGAAGGCCCTGACACGATTAATTGACTAATTTTGGGGTTCTGTTGGTGATGGCATGAGCTAGGAAGTAGTAGTTCTGAGAGTTACTGCAGAGTAACTTGTGGACCATGCTCATGGGCTGAAAAATCTGTTGGCACCTCCGCGATTCCCCCTGATAGCTCTAACTGTCTTTTGCGCATAGCAACACTAAAGCTTGTAGCTCTCTCTTTCCTTCGTTTTACGAAAACTACCATCCTATTCATTTTTGAACTCCTACTACTTTACTACTACTTTTTTTAAAATGACAAAAACCAGTCGTACGAGACACCGTCGACTCACTTCATTGGCCCAACAATACTTATTCCACCATAAGTTTACGGTAGGACTTCAAGGTCTTGATCCTTTGGTGTCACTTATTTCATTGATGTCGTCATGGTGCTGTTCTGTGAAACTCTTTTTTTCTTTTTCTGTCCAAACAGTCTTCGTTCTCTTGAGCAGTAACGATTTGAAGTAATCTCGATTGACGTCTTCCATTACTTTGTTTTGACGTGTCTTCTAAGTAACTGTTAAAGGAATTTATCTTCTGAATCATAAGCATTAGCAGCTATCAAAATCAGTGACGAGCATCTGACTCATTGCTGAAAAATTTAGTCGAATCATCTATCTTTACGAAACAAAACCCACGCCAAATGTTAAACATGATTTTTCCCTGATGATATTGGTCGTCATAGTTGTTGTTCTTTAGTATTAAATGTATTAGTAAGGCTAGACACATTTTCAGTGATGCCTCATAATTGCTTAATTCGAGAAGTCATCTCGGACCTGGTCACGTACGTATTACATGGACCCTAAGCGTACGGTCGCGTTGCGGAAAATGTGCCGTAGCTTACCCAGCTTCTGTTTTTTTGCGCCCTAAACACGCCCTTCCATATGCATGACAGGGTATGGAACTCTTTAAAAAAAGACTTTTCCAGGAATTTGGATAGCAGTTTTTGTAATGCTGTACAAGCTGAAATTACTGGTTATATAACTCTTGAACTGTGTTCTCTTCAAAGTCCTTTTCTCCTTCAAAGTAACAGTCTGTTGACTATTACAGTTTGATGCTCGTTATTTCATTAACAGCATTTTAATGTGTGCAGTGACTCAACCGACATAATGAATAGCCGTTTCGTACGGCTTCTGGAAATATGGAGAGGATGGTCTGCTCTGGTAAAGATCTTTTTGGGGCCTAACCCTCGGATCATGCTTATGATAGTGACGTCAGTTGTCAATATTCAACCTTCGCCCACTTATTTATCTGTTTTGAGTATTGAAATTCAGTTATTCACCTGTATCACCTGTCGTCCCGTTGATTATCGATTTCCTCTAACGAGCGCTAGTAACGTCTCCATTCCAGTCACGAGCCAGAGTGGTCCAGTGAATCGCCCTCGCTTCAGGGACACGAGGTCTAACATTCCTTTCGTTCAGAGCATTCGTGAAGTAGTCTGACCATCGCGTTGGCGGCCGTCCTGGTCTTCGTTTGACATCTCGAGGGATCAGTCAGTAACCGTCCTGGTCCAGGGGTCATCACTATATCGCATAACGTATCCGGCCCACTTGATCTTCGATTTCCTGGCGTATGCAACGGCATTCCTGATATTCGTTCGTTGATGGAGCCCGGATCCCCAGATTCCCTCCTGCACTTGGGTGTATAGGGAAAATCCGAGCATCACCCGTTCCAAAGCGCCTTGGATGACACTGACTGCATGTTCATCCTGCTCTTGGTAAAGTTCGAGTCTCCGAGGTGTGCATCAAAGCTGGGAACACAACAGTGTCGAACACTGACAGCTTGATCAGCCATCTAAATCGTCAAAGTTGGCCAAGTTATTTCATGTTCTATAATTTTTTTGGACCTCAGTGGATGTAGGAATGGAGCTAGTTCAACTTTTATGGCTTTGCTGTCCTGGTCAAACAATTCTTCCTTTCCTTCGCAGTAGCTCAACTTGTACAGGATACGGTCTCGAATGCGAAAAGCTCTGGATAACGGTAGGGAAATCGATCCGCATTATAATCCCATTACAGTTTCCATTGAAGATTGGTTGCAAAGAGTGCCCCAGAAAGAAAATGGTGAACACTGTAGCTTAAACCTTTGATAACCTGTTAAAAGAACATTCACAGAGCCGGATTATCGGTAAACTCTTTTAGCAGTTCAAGGAATAAAATACTGGTCTGTACGGGCTGGTTAGTAAAATAAACTGGTACGATCTACTGCTTCTTTTCGGTGTTTCTTCCGTCTGATCAAATCAACGGCTTGATTTCATGTGCGACACGACATCTCTGTAGACGTACTCCAATCCCTGTAGCACTTCCTGAGCAATGGTGGGGACCGGCAATGGTGCTCGGAAGCCCTGCCACAATGGCCAGCAATCGACTTGTTGAATATCCGTTTTGCAATAGATTACTGTCTCTTTAGAGCTGATTATTGATCTGTCCCTAATTCCATGCCTCTTTTTATATAGGGGCTTTAATCAGTTTTTTGTTCTTACTCTTTTTTTTTGTTTGTAAGTGGGAAGCTTGGCTCACGACCGGGTGGAAACAAAGATTCTTCACTTTCTCTTCTCCACACTTTCTACGCTCTTTCCATACAAGGCGCGACGCGTACCGCTAGCGCACTCGATCGATAATCGCGTTGAGGACCGAGCTTGCTCTGAATTAACCAATCGGAGAATAAGAAAATCGGCGAAAGAA